CCTGCTCAGCCAGCAGCGGGTCCTCCTGGGCATCATCTATGGGAATGATGTCGGGCTGCTTTTCAGGGTATTGGGGCTCTTCTCTCGCAAACTCCTTGCAGTACACCGAGACCGGGGAGTCATCCAAGCTGAAATCTGAGCAGCTACTGACAGAGGAGGAGGTGGAAGCTGGATCACAGGGGGAAGCCACGTCCTCCCCAGCGTGCAGGCAGGGGAAATCCTCTTGAGCTGTCTGGTTCTGGAGGCCCAGCTTCGCGGGCGGCTGCGCGTGGGCTTCGCAGCACTGGCACCTCAAGGAAGGATTGTTGGAATTGGCATCGACTTGCCCACAGTTCTCCCGACAGTCGCCGCAGTCCGTCCGGTCGCCTCGAGCCACGGGGACGGAGGTCTCCCGGAGCTCCGGGTGCCGGGAGAGGTGCAGCCCCAGGGAGATGTGCTGCAGGTGGATGTGGTTCAGGTTGCAGAGCAGCCCTTTCTTCGGGGCCAGCATGGTGCTAGCTTGTGGGCAGCACCCGAGCTCCGCGCAGAACCCCGCAGCCCTTCGGGTCAGACCATCCAGCTCCCCGCGAACATCGAGTGCAACGAGCGGGTGGGAAGCCCGCGCCGCGCAGCACAAACCTGGAGGGGAACGGAGCGGGAGAGGATGAAGGCGCCGACCAGAGGTGGGAGAGCCAGGAGGGCAGGTGCCGGCTGCATCCAGAGACGGCAATGCGTCCAGGTGAGCATCCCACCTCCACCCCTTAGCTTGGGCCTGCTTGGCAGAGGAGGCCCCAAATTCTGGGCTGGGCAGGGTGTGCTGCAGGCCACCCCGGGCCGGGGACCAGGCGGCTGCTCCCCGCAGCGTGATGTCAGTGCGCTCGGAGGTGCTGGCAGACCGGGAGCCTGCAGCAGCAGGACTGAAGTCTCTCTGCCAGGTCTCGGCAGTCAGGGAGCGGCTCAGAGAGGCTCTCAAGGAGAAAACGCCCTTGAGGCCTCAGCCAGGGAGGCTCCTGGCCTCCGGCCGAGGCAACGCGGCGCTGGCAGCTCCCTGAGGTCAGGGCAAAGTTAGCCAGTTAGGTCAAAACCGCGTAGGAGGCGGCGTTTGACCCTGGCCTGGGCTCAGATGTACGCTTCAGACCTGGAGGACGCAAATAGCCAGGACGGCACGTCCCAGAGCGCAGCCTCCCCCCAGAGCCCCAGGCGAGACCTCCAGGCCGAGGCACCTGCTTTTGCTCCAGCTGAAAGCCGTGCCCCACGCTGGGGGGGCAGCTCGGGCTCGCCCTGCTTTGGCCTCAGGCACCGGCACGTCCCAGCCGAGCTCTGCAGCGGTGGGGGGGAAGCGGGGGGAACGGCC